CAGCAACAGCAACAGCAACAGCAACAGCAACAGCAACAGCAACAGCAACAGCAACAGCAACAGCAACATCACCATCAGCAGCAGCAGCAGCAGCAACAACAGCAGCAACAGCAGCATCAGCAACAATACCCTGTCACGACGTCGCAATATCAAGCAGCCGCAGTTGCCGCTGCGGCAGCTGCCGCTGCCGCCAGCACGATTGGTTACACACACTCTCATCCGGGCCATGGCGGACACGGGGAAGCGGGCTCCGAGGTATGGCAAGGAGTGCAACACCATCACTACCAGTACTATCCCTACCACCATCACCACCCCGCACCACCAAGGCACACGCCCCAGTGAGTGTCACTGCTGCCTCACAGATTTTATTATAATTTTTCGTCGTCATTTACAGTAAGGTGATCAAACTCCCGAAGAAATATATATATCATTGCTTGCGCTTTTTAAACTTGCAACTGTACAATACCGATCTTGGCTCTCTGAGAACACTATTGATTTTTATTATTTTATCTTTGCTTCTTGAATCGGATCGACTTAATCTTTAAATTACAGTTTTTGCTATATTTATATTTTAAATACAAAAATGGGTTAAAATAGTAAACTTTTTAAGAAAATGAAACAAATATTGAGCACTCTTTTAAGGCGAATTTAGCAAATCGGAGGATTGATCATCTTAAACTTAAAGATTGAATGTGAGATGTTATTGCTATATACGAGTGGTTTCAATGCTAAAATAATTTCTATTTATGGAAAAATTAAATTCCATACAAAACTTTTCACTTTTATATCATGTATAAACAGAACGTTAAATTGGATTTAATATTATTTTTTGAGATACTTTTTGAAATATTATATTTGAATCTTGAAACCATTAATAATTAGTATTGTTTATTGCATACAAAATCTGTTATTTGCAGATTGTTCGTAATACAAAAGCATTATTGCATTGAAAAATAAAATTACAATTGCAAAATAAACAGATTAACATACTTCGGCTCGAAGAGGTTCGAATACTTGATAATTTTAAGTACTCAAACATCTCTATCAATTAAACAGTTTATAATATAAAAATATATTTGAATTTTTATGCGAATATTTACACTTATGGATGTAAATTTTCTATGATTTATACTTGTTTATTTAGTACATTGTGAAAGCAAATGCATGCATAATTAAAAATTTATTTTTGCATCAGTTTAAGGAGGTATGACACTTTTGAGCATGAACTCTTTTCACGATTTGTTTTAACATATAAGGAATAGAGCAATCGAAAATCGGCTATAAGGGGTCTTTTTATTATACATTGAAGATGTAAAAAAAATTTGTTTGTATATAAAAAATTTGTTTGTATATAAAATACACCCTGTCAAAAGAGGCCGTGTGCGTCACGGGGGTCCAGCTGGTGTACACGATTTCGGCTGACTGGCATGACCTAGAACAGAAATCCAAAAAAATTCTTAATCTGTGATAGATTGGCTATGGAGGTACGTAGCCGTTTTTAAATTGGATTGTTAGTTTTTTTTTTGGGAACCAATTTTATACACGATTTTTCAGTGCAAATTTGGACACTTTTGTTCAAATTAGTGTCAATTTCGCAAAAATTAGTATTTTTCAAAAATCCTACGTACCTCCATAGCCAATCTATCACAGATTAAGAATTTTTTTGGATTTCTATTCTAGGTCATACCAGTCAGCCGAAATTGTGTACACCAGCTGGACCCCCGTGACGCACACGGCCTCTTTTAACAGGGTGTACGAACATGATTTTATATACAAAAAAATTTTTTTTTACATTTTCAATGTATAATAAAAAGACCCCTTAAAGCCGATTTTCGATTGCTCTATTCCTTATATGTTAAAACAAATCGTGAAAAAGAGGTTAAATTTCATGCTCAAAGGTGTCATACCCCCTTAATTTTAATAATTATAATAAAGTTTACTACCACTATTATAAGAATCATAAGAGTTTAATAACGTTGAGCTCCGGCAATATGATGGTTACTCTAAACGATTGTTCGACAACGTCATCAATCAAAGAATAAGCCAAACACGCAAGTGTTACGTAAAAAAAAACAACAATAGTCTTTACATGATTAGGAAATTGCATCCGATTCAATCTTGTTTTCCAAGAAAAGTATGTTTAAGAAATAAATAAGACGTAATTGGACGGTCGATCGTTTTATAAGTAAACTACTTGATGTTGGATCGCAAATCAAACTTTTGCAATTGTCCAATATTTTTAATTCGGGTCGAGTTATTAAGAAAGTTTTTGCAATAACATTAAAAAGCAGATTTTTGGCCAATTTCTTGCTCAATGCGTTGTACCAGATCTGTAGCGAAAGAAGCCCAATTTAGTACACGTAAGATAACGGGGAGACCGTCCATTTGGTTGCAGCACGCCACCGTCAGCTGCGGGAACGGGGACGGGGGTGGCGGCAGGCATGGGCATGGGCACCGGGGTGGACAACAGCACCAGCAACAACAACAGCAACGTCTTGTACCACCCTCCGCACCACCACCACCACCACCACCACGTGGGATCATCGGCGGCAGTGGGAATGGTGCCAACTGTCCCACAGATTCCAAACCGGACGCCGGGAGTCCTCTGCTGTCCATCTCTGAGGTGACTAACACCCTGCTCAACCAATAGTCAATAGTCCCTTGGTCACTTTGGCGTCGCTTTACGTCAGCAATGAAGGTAAGCTTGGCCGACGCTAAATGAATGCTACATAGCATCATCGAGGTGAATTGAGTGATTTGAGAGAGAACGAACTGCCCAACAAATAAATTTAAGTTTATGTACGATTTATATAGATATAATATTTTCAGGCTTCGTTGTCGGACAGCTCATCATCTTGACAAAGTACTCAACTATAACAGAGCACGGAATTATTTTATTATCTTAATGAATTTAAAGTAGTAGTTTAATTATTAGAAGTAATGTTTTACCAAAATATTAAACTGATTATTTTATTAACTAAATTTGTGTAAAATTAATAATACACTATTGATATATATTTTCTTCTTAAATCATAATTCTTCCCTTCCTCAAACAAATATAAAATTATTTTTGCATATACATTTTACGTAACATTATATAGAATAAAAATCAATAATTATGGTGCGAGCTTTTAAACCACGTTCTGTATTTTTTTTACTTTTGCAGGTATCTCTGAAGAGATGTCTTCATTGAAGCGGATCCCAAAATGTGTCACTGTACCATACAGATAATGTCGATTAAAAAAAAATAAGAATTTACGTGTAGTACTGTAACATACTCATTGCAAAGCTAATAACCAATTTAGTATTACATAACTTTTATTAATTTATCCATACCGAGATATACGTTAAGTGGATGTTCTTCAGGATTCACAGTTTGAGTCTGCATGTGACACTGATCGCAAGTTTGTATGCGTGAGGGGCAGCGATTACGAGACGTTTTGCGATTTTATTTATGCGCCGCTACTGGACGCAACGATTGCATGACGAGTAGCAATACCACCGTATTGTAGAACGGATACAAATAGATAAATCTAACAAATCTCGAAACTATACTATTTTTTTTATATTTTCAAAGATTGGTTATATCGAGAACAGATGTCCAACTATTTATTTCAATTTAACTAGTCCTTTTGTAAGAATATAAGAAAAAATCTAATTTATTATAATGTAAGAAATAATTCTCGTCACATTATATGAAATAAAATTTAGCAATATAAAAGCAAAATTACACTCTATAAAAAGATAAAGATTGAGAACGAATTATATATATATATATATATATATATATATATAGGGTGTTCTAGGTCAGGTCAGTGAAACTTCAGGGTCTTACAGAAAATTGAATTGAGAATAAAAAAGTTCCTATAAACATAAGTTTGGAAACGCTTCCTTAAAAAAATTACTTAAAAAAGTGATAATACAAAGGTTACATTAATGCGAATAAGGACAACAATTTTATTAAAAGTAGTAGAAAAATAATTTTCAACCAAATTATCAAATATGTTCAAAATAATGTTCCTGTGTATTAATGCATTCATGCCATCTACGCAATATTGATTGACTGCATTGTGCAATAACTTTTTAACGTAGTGTTTCCGGACCTATATTTATAGAAATTTTTTGTTCCAAATTCAATTTTTTATAAGATTCTGAAGTTTCATTGACTTGACTTAAAACAGTATATATACTGTGTAACACAATGAACATTTCCGTGATTTATATATAATTTTTTGTTCTTTAATTAATAAGAAAATGTATTGGTTTTACTATTGCAATAAGCAAATGTGCATTCTGTTCTTGTTTTGCGATAAACTAAAAAATGTATAATGTAAAATAGTGATCACTGCCCGAACACTGAGCAAAATGGAGTAATGAACGACATTCCTTTGAACCAAAAAGCATCAAACGCTATTCGTATCTAAGAATGAGAGCACAAAATTTGTCATTTCGATCTTCGACAAGCGCAACAAATGCGACTTTAGTTTGTATTTACTATTAATATATCCGAATAATTTTACCCGTACTCTAATGCTTTTGTATGCCGTGCTATTGCGTTTGTACAATTCTTTTTCTTTTCTAAAGGAGAATATGGATTCTGTGATATGTGTTAGGTAATTTAAATAATATTCTTCAGAAGGCGTAACTCGAGTGTAATTATTTATTGACATAGAAATGGCGATAAGAAAACTCGTCCAGAAATTTGAAAGATTTGCATATAATGTATCGTGATACGAATTATGGAAACACAAGACGGTGAATTCTTTTCTAAGTGAAAATCGGAAGTGTTGACGAGAGATTGATTCTTGTAAGGACACGAATTTTTTAAGGATGCAGAGTAAGAAACGATGATTTTAAAAGTGCAGGTTGTTATATAACGATAGGCAAAAAGATAGTCTTGTTTAAATAAGAAAAAAAGAGGACACTATATCAATACACATTCCACATCACACACATATGTATAAGCGATCTCTCTAAGTTACATGCAGTAAAATCGAATTTCTACTGCCGGGATAAGGCATAAATATAAAGTAAGTTCAATAAGTTTTTTTCCTTTTACAATAAAACCTATACTCTCCACTTTACATGACAGTTTTCTTTATAAAAATCGAGACTTTGGTGTCACCGGATATTTTAAATTTAATATTCCTGCGCAACTCTCCTGCTTCCTGCATATTTATTTTGAATTTGCAATAATTAATGGATTATTGATAAAAGTTGGAAATAAATATAAATTCCCGTTTGCATTAGTCGATTAATCTTGCTACAACTATAAAAGTAAGAACTCGTCTGTAGTAATTTTGTCCAATACGACATTGAGAGATTATAAAAATCACTAAAAATTATTTCTAAAATTCTAAATTAAAAATATTTTAATAGCATTTATTATTAAGAGAGTATATAATGGCGTTTTGTTTAGCAATGAACATCTTGTATTAAAAATATAAATATAAATTATAGTTTTTTATAAAATTTCCTGAACATAATTATATACTTTGATTAATAGGCTACTGCAACGGGAATCGATACAAAGCTTTGTGTTCCTTAAGTTATTCGAGTTCTCTTTCGAGTGTTGAGAATCTCGTTAGACGATCGGATAAGGGGACGGAAGGTGATGCGATATTTGTAGTCCGTTAATTCGGCTAAACTTGTCTTGCCAATATTTTGTTAATATGTTTGTAATTTTTGTACTTAATTAATTTGTACACATTATTTATGTATATGTGTAATTCGTGTTTAGCGACGCTAGGCGGGCCTTCCAATAATTTTAAGCGCATTCTCTCTCTCTCTCTTTCTCTCTCTCTCTCTCTCCCCTCCTCCCTTTCTCCACCCTCTCTTTCTCTCTCTCTCTCTCTATTTCTCACTTGCAAAGTCAAGAAAATCTCCCGTTAAAGAATAAACTCTCAAAGAAGATCCGCGCGAGCAAAAATATAATATATGAGCACAAATGAAGAAAGCTATTTTAAGATAACATTAAAAGAGCTGTTGTTTCCTCGCGCTTCTAAAACAGCATAACTTTGCATATCCGCAACCGCATATCAAAGTGGTAAAAAGTATACAGTTAAAGAGAGCGGTATATATTTAGATATTCTCTTCTATACTTTTCGAATCATCGCATTATTTATTAACTATAACATGTAAGACGTATCAGGCGCGTTATACAAAAATAACGCTCCCGTTAAGGATAATAAGGCGAATTCCATTTCCTACGCGTTTCATTCTTAACGCGTCGTACATTTTATATGTTCATACATACGAGATATATGTGTCTACATTCTTAGCGCAATCGATGCATCGGATGCAAATATTAGGAATTTATTCAACGAACAAATTGTACGAATTTCTATTTATCGATGATACACTAATCAGAGTAATAATAACTAATGAATTAAATGTATTGAAAAGAAACACGTAGAAGAGTGCAAAAAACTACATTATTTATTTTCATAATTGAAAAGATAACAAAATCCCAAAATGTCTCTGATACTTTGTTGCATTTCTGTAGTATCCACCCAAGTTAAATTTGTCTTATATTCGATATTTGCATCTTGATCTTTGATATTAAACATCCCACTCTACTTTGATTGACTTTGTGACTAAACGCAACTCAAGATAACATCGAAATTTATTACTATCCGACGTATCCTCATTGCCTTACAAATTATAAAACGTGCATTGTCACATTATGTGTGAAATATTTATAAAATAACAGTCTTGGAAACTATATTATACTTTTAAACAATTTGTTTGCAGTAAAGTAACAGCTTATCGATCACCAACATTGATTTAATTTTAACATGCTAAAGTCTTCCCGATGTCTTCTTCGTGTAATTATATATTCCTTCAAGGTATACTATAATTTTCAAGATATTATTCTTGTTTTTAGTGTTTTTAGAAGAGATGCCTATATATAACCGATTATAAATACGTTTAATGTTACGTTTAATGTACGACAAATGTTGCTAACAACGAAGAATATAAGAATAAAAATTATCGAAGAATTGAGAATACGCCGATAGTAATCTGTTTCGATATAAGAATCTTGTGTATATCTATATATTTCTGACTTATACTGTTATAGCTTGCGGAAAAAATGTCTCGTTTCTCTGCAATATTCTTAAACGTTAAAGGCTACTATTATTATTATTATAAGTAATCGAGTCTAGTCCATTCATTAAAAAAGCAAATTAGTAACGATATATATAATAATATGTATGCTTAAATTGTGATAATATTCTCGTCGTGAAGCTAATTTAACTGACAATCTTATCAATTATAAGTTCTTCTTGGTGCGTCAACATGTAAATGTATATTATAGGGAAGAAGATAAAATATGATATATTCCCGCAAGATATGCATTGACAGTCGCCTCTAGCATACATTGAGTTACAATCGCGAGGATATTTTTACGATCTAAGCATTAATGTATATTCATTGTATATTTGAAGTAAGGTATCTTATATTATATAATATAACGAACGTAAATTAAGACCATAGTCAGTACAGATTCTCAAGCAGTTATCTATATAGACCGAGAACACGTACCTTATTTTCCAACAATGCACTCACGAGGAGTAAAATGCAATTAAAGCGCGATTTTACACAGCATAGCAATGACTATGCTGCTTTTGAATCGAGTACTCTCGCCGGGGAAGCTCGGAGAAGCTTGCGTCTTCGAAAATTTTGAGCGGATTCTGCGTGAGAGAACTAAGTAGAAAAGTTAAGATTGATCCCTTTATCAAGCGTTTAGACGAATAAAAAAAAAATTATAAATTTAATTCTTCGTTCGGAGAGTAATTTCCTTTTTCTACTATCTTATTCTAAAATAAGGAAAGAGACAGTGGTTTATTTAATAACGAGCTATAATTTCACAACAGTTGAAAACGTAAAGCGTATTTTAATAGAAATAACTTCATTTTGATGTAATTAACTTATTGTATCAACCTAAAAGAATATCAAAAAGTATTATTATTTACTTTTAGTTAAACGCTTTGTTATGAAATTTAATAGAAATATAATTCTCCTTGTTACTTGTATCTAACAAGGATAGGCTCTCAGGTGTCTTTCTCCGATTTTAATGAAACTTGGAGAGTTTGTAGAAAGGGTAAAAATATTCGATACGTATTTTTTTTATCATTAGGCAAATATATTTAAGGAGTAAAATAAACTTCTAAAAATCGGCCAAATTTTCGTTTTTAGAAACTGAACGAAGCATAATAGGATAATTTCATAAATATACTAAATGTATAGAATTTTGAAAACTATCTACTGGTCTAATAATTATTTTTGTGCATAAAAAAATACGAGTTATGAAACTCAATTTTTTTATTTTTCCATTATTGGACATGAAAGCTTTTCTAGTGCAAAAAAAATATTTTATTTATATAGAAAAATATGTGATAATGCAGTTTTGTTGCTATATGTTAGGAAGGACTAGACATTTATTTTATTTAATTGCGCGCGACCTGCGAAACTGCGAGCTGCCAGCCGCGCTGCGCGTACATTATACAACTCTAGCAAACGCATATTCGACGTGTGCGTTATAGTTGTGTGGCGAGTTAAACTGTGAAATAATCGAAATATCTGTACATTTTGTACATGTATGAAATTAAGCTATCGCTTTGTTCAGAAATTATAGTTAAAAAAAAAAAATCTGGTCGATTTCCGA